TTTTTTAAAATGTTCTTTACAAAGCAACTACTCAAATTTTTTAAAATGTTCTTTACAAAGCAACTACTCAAATTTTTTAAAATGTTTTTTACAAAGCAACTACTCAAATTTTTTAAAATGTTTTTTACAAAGCAACTACTCAAATTTTTTAAAATGTTCTTTACAAAGCAACTCCTCAAATTTTTTAAAATGTTTTTTACAAAGCAACTCAAATTTTTTAAAATGTTCTTTACAAAGCAACTACTCAAATTTTTTAAAATGTTCTTTACAAAGCAACTACTCAAATTTTTTAAAATGTTCTTTACAAAGCAACTACTCAAATTTTTTAAAATGTTCTTTACAAAGCAACTACTCAAATTTTTTAAAATGTTCTTTACAAAGCAACTCAAATTTTTTAAAATGTTCTTTACAAAGCAACTCAAATTTTTTAAAATGTTCTTTACAAAGCAACTACTCAAATTTTTTAAAATGTTTTTTACAAAGCAACTACTCAAATTTTTTAAAATGTTCTTTACAAAGCAACTCCTCAAATTTTTTAAAATGTTTTTTACAAAGCAACTCAAATTTTTTAAAATGTTCTTTACAAAGCAACTCAAATTTTTTAAAATGTTCTTTACAAAACAACTACTCAAATTTTTTAAAATGTTTTTTACAAAGCAACTCAAATTTTTTAAAATGTTTTTTACAAAGCAACTACTCAAATTTTTTAAAATGTTCTTTACAAAGCAACTACTCAAATTTTTTAAAATGTTCTTTACAAAGCAACTCCTCAAATTTTTTAAAATGTTTTTTACAAAGCAACTCAAATTTTTTAAAATGTTCTTTACAAAGCAACTACTCAAATTTTTTAAAATGTTCTTTACAAAGCAACTACTCAAATTTTTTAAAATGTTCTTTACAAAGCAACTACTCAAATTTTTTAAAATGTTCTTTACAAAGCAACTACTCAAATTTTTTAAAATGTTTTTTACAAAGCAACTACTCAAATTTTTTAAAATGTTTTTTACAAAGCAACTACTCAAATTTTTTAAAATGTTCTTTACAAAGCAACTCCTCAAATTTTTTAAAATGTTTTTTACAAAGCAACTCAAATTTTTTAAAATGTTCTTTACAAAGCAACTACTCAAATTTTTTAAAATGTTCTTTACAAAGCAACTACTCAAATTTTTTAAAATGTTCTTTACAAAGCAACTACTCAAATTTTTTAAAATGTTCTTTACAAAGCAACTACTCAAATTTTTTAAAATGTTCTTTACAAAGCAACTCAAATTTTTTAAAATGTTTTTTACAAAGCAACTACTCAAATTTTTTAAAATGTTCTTTACAAAGCAACTCCTCAAATTTTTTAAAATGTTTTTTACAAAGCAACTCAAATTTTTTAAAATGTTCTTTACAAAGCAACTCAAATTTTTTAAAATGTTCTTTACAAAGCAACTACTCAAATTTTTTAAAATGTTTTTTACAAAGCAACTCAAATTTTTTAAAATGTTTTTTACAAAGCAACTACTCAAATTTTTTAAAATGTTCTTTACAAAGCAACTACTCAAATTTTTTAAAATGTTCTTTACAAAGCAACTCCTCAAATTTTTTAAAATGTTTTTTACAAAGCAACTCAAATTTTTTAAAATGTTCTTTACAAAGCAACTCAAATTTTTTAAAATGTTCTTTACAAAGCAACTACTCAAATTTTTTAAAATGTTCTTTACAAAGCAACTACTCAAATTTTTTAAAATGTTCTTTACAAAGCAACTACTCAAATTTTTTAAAATGTTTTTTACAAAGCAACTACTCAAATTTTTTAAAATGTTTTTTACAAAGCAACTACTCAAATTTTTTAAAATGTTCTTTACAAAGCAACTCCTCAAATTTTTTAAAATGTTTTTTACAAAGCAACTCAAATTTTTTAAAATGTTCTTTACAAAGCAACTACTCAAATTTTTTAAAATGTTCTTTACAAAGCAACTACTCAAATTTTTTAAAATGTTCTTTACAAAGCAACTACTCAAATTTTTTATAATCGTGAAATATTTTTTTTTTTTTATTGCGCGACATCATAATAATGTTATCCATTTTAATATGAAAGTTGGTATAAACTTTATATTTTTTAACAAATAAAGAAACTGATTTGTTGAAAGTTAGACCAGATAAAAAGAATAAAAACTTTTTGTTATTAATCTTCATTGCTTAGTAATTAAATACTTTTTGAATATTTGCCAGATTTGAATATAACTTTCACTTTTAGAAAACAATCTTTAAGCAAAATTTATATTTTACTCATCACAATCTACCACTCAAATCTAATCTAATTTCTATTTGTTGCAGTACTAAAGAACTCAAGTTTTTATTGATTCAATATTTAGCGTATTGACTGCTTTTGAGAAATTGATTTACTTAAATAGATTTTCTGAAAATTACTACTATGTATTATTTAAAACTTTTTATTTAAGTTTTTTACTTTATTACTTTATAATTTGTCTTTAAGGTGAATAAGAATTAATAATGTAGTGTGTAGGCTAATTTAAATTAATTTTATTAATGATCTTTTTTTCTATTTTGTTTGTTTTAAGTAAATTTACACCTAGTGCAAAATCTTATGACTCCCATTAAGAGAAAAATTTTAAAAATTATTGTACTGAAATTTTTTTTTCTATTTATATATTTTTGTTCTAGACTTAATAAGCATTCAATTTAAAATAATTTTTTTATTTCAATTGATGTTTATAAATAAAAAACTTATTTTTGCAATAACATAGAATATGCTTCAAGTATTTTTTACATAATGTGAAACAGAAACGTTGTGCAGCTCTGATGACGTTAAATCACATCAAAATTTCGGGTTTTAATGTGGCGGTTATTTATGCGACGCCTAAAGTGAACAGCCAAGTCTCATCAAGGTTGCATGTACATCCTGGTAAAGTGGTATAATTATTAATTATATCTGATAGAAGAGTGAAAAACTTATCAATAATATTTGTGGTAAACTAAAGCAACACTGGATTACCAGTATAACAATTATAATTTCATTGTTTTCACTCAACAGTCTTTTATTAAGTTGTTTTTTTTATTCTTAATCTCAATGATTTAGTAGAGAAAATTTTTAAGCAGTATTAATGTTTTTTTTTGTATTTCTTTCCAAAATAACAGTTCTTTTTATACTATTGTATTTAGAATTTATATTCTTATTGCATTTTCTAGAATTTTTAAAAATTTACTTTCTTAGAATTTATTTTCTTATTGCATTTTCTAGACATTTAGAAATTACTTTCTAAAATAATATTTATGAAACAATGATTTTTTAAGTAAAACAAATTTAGAGAAATCATAATTTATCACAATATAAAATAATATAAAACCTATATAAATACATCGCTTCGAATTAAGCGCACAAATATTTTTTAAAGTTATATATAATTTATATTATATAACTTTAAACATAGATATTTAACTGAGCTAAAGTTTATGCTAGCAGGTAAATAGTTCTGATGAAATATTATTTATAATAACGCCATTAAAATAATAACATAAGTTAATATTTTATATACACAGACCAGCATTACCCCATTTGATTATATTTCAAATTTAAAACAAGCCATGTGGATTAATGTCTTAACTATACATTAATATAAATACATAATAATAGAGCTTTCAAATTAACTATTTTTCATTTGCTCATATCTATTTATATAGACTGTTATGATGAATCAAGTAATTTAGCTAGAAGATCGTTTTTAACGGCACAGCTGGTTTATATTTTAAGTCTAAATAGTTTAATATATTATAACAAAGCGCTAAAAAAACTTTTCTTCATCAAACCATTATCCAAATAACTGATGAATATCTTTTAGATCTAGATTACCCCTTTGAACAACATTACCTCACCCAACCCAATTTAAAAATATTCTTCAAAACACTTTTAAACACCTAACAAGTCATATTAAAAGATACCGCAAAGAATTTTTTTTTTTTTCGGTCAAATAAACTATTATAAAATAATAACTTTTTTAAAATGAACATTTTCGTGAAACGGTATACTCCAGATATATATATATATATATATATATATATATATATATATATATATATATATATATATATATATATATATATATATATTTAGATGTATTTCGCCGTTTAAAAATAGTTACAATAACCAGATAATATAATTACAATAATATGTATATATGTAAAGTTACATTAACCATAAGAGAATATATATTTACATTTGACAGCAACTACGGCAGGACTCATAAATATATTGATATTGATGGTTTTTATGTCATCAATATTGAAAATATTGATGACATAAAAATAATTGCTAATTAATAACTCAGTTGTCTTAAAAATTGTACGAGATATTTTATATGCGAATTGTTGCTCCGCCTAACACGCTTTGCTGATTCGCTTTATTGTACGTTTTGTTGATATACTCTATTTGTATGATACATCAATACAATATTGTAACTTCTCGAAATTTTAATATTTTGAGTTACATGCGCGCAATATTAAAACGAATACATTTTATTTCCACTATAACTGATTATGTAATCATATACTACTTATTACAGCTGATTTAAAATATTACCGTTTTAACTGTTATGGTATAGCACTGACGCGTTTTATCATTACTACACTTAGGTGCGTTTTTTAGTAATTGCATTTAAAGCATTAAAAAAAAAGAAAAAAAAAAAGATCTCAACTTTAATAATTGTGTTAAATTTTTAAAAAGAAATTTTCAATTTTTTAAAGCTTTTAACTTACTATTATTATAGGGTATATTACTAGATATTATTAGAGTTGCTTAAAATATGTGCCGACGTCATTGGTGTTGTAACGTATATACTCGAATGTCGTAGCGGATATACTCATTCAAAAAATCTTTTCTAAATATCATATTATTAAATATTTTTAATAATCCAAGTATATAAGATTTGGCTCCACTTCATCAAAACACAAAAAATTATACAATTAAAACATAGCAGTAAAGAAAAAAAAACAAAAACTATCAATGATATTATATTTTCCCGAAAAAATAAATAACATTAAAAATAATGCGACAATTACATTCCAACAACTTTGTACACTCCAACGTAACAACTCTTGAAAGTAACAACATCATACACTCCAACATATCAGCTCTTTATAATCCAACGTCACAATTCTCTACACTACGACTGCACTTTCCTCATATACTCACACACTTTTTTTTTCACACTTTCATTTTCTTACTTTCAGTTTCCTTTCTCAAATAATTCTGCTCTTAAACGCAGACTCATGATAAACTAATATAATGTAATAATTGATAATTTTGATAATTGTCCTAAATTTAAAAATATATAACATTAAAAATCTTCATATACAATCAACTTGAGACCAATCCTTTACTAATAAGGAACGCTTCTTGATTAGGCTCACGACCCAAGAAGTTTAGCAGCATGTCTCGTGCGTCCTATTCATTTAAAAATGAAATGTAACATTTAAATATGAAATTAATCAAATGTTAAATTATTGTAAAATGTTGTATTTATGTATTGTTTTAAATGAATGTTGCAAAATACTCACCAACGAACCGCCCGGTTTTAAAATACACTCTCTGTAAGCCATTCCAACTAATGGATTAAATATTCCTTCCTTTTTAAAGCGAGAATGGAACATATCAATAGAATAAACTTCACTCCACTAAAAATATCATTACAAAAAAGTTGAAGCAGATGTACCTAATTGTTTATAACAATATAAAATAAAAGAAACTGTCCTTACTTTTAAACTGCAATTACTATTAAACTATATGATATATTAGCGCATATGATATGATATATTAACACATATTATATATGATATATTAGCCCATATTATATATTAATGCATATGATATATGATATATCAACGCATATATATTTTACATGATATATTAGCGCATGATAAAAAATAGTTAATTTGAGTATGTGGTGGCTTATGAAGTGGTTAACATAAGTGTATGTTGTGGTTAAAATATTAAAGTATATGATGGTTAGTATATTAAAGTATATGGTGGTTAACATAATAGAGTATGTGGTGATTAACATATTAAATCATGTGGCGGTTAACACAATTTTAATAGTCAAGAGGCTGTTAAAAATATATAGAAATACAGAAAATATGATTAATTGAAATTAAGATTGAAAGTAAAGATCGATTTTATAGAAAGTAAAAAAAGAATCAAAAAAAAAATATTTAAATACCATGTAACCATAATACTGAGCATCGTAACCACCAGCTAAGTGGCCAAATGAAGCGCTCAAGTTTGTTCCTTAAATCATTTAAAAAGCAAAAACAAAACTATTCAAAAGAATATAATTTTCAACAAAATTTATAATATAAATTAATATTTCGAATTTGTTCTGTGTAATTAAAATCTGAGATCATCTTCTAACATATGTATTTATATGCATTTGAATTAGAAACAGAATTTAACAATAACAACAAATCCAATATTTGTCTAAAACAGGAATTAAACTAAAAATTCAACCAAAATTTTATTCGTGTAAACTCTACAGAAATTAAAAAAAAGAAAAAAAAAAAAAAAAAGAAAAAAAAAGTTAATTTAAAATCATGTTTGTCTTAAGAAAGATTTGAGCTCACAACTATATTTTTTATATGTCATGGTGTTTTTGCCAATAAATTTATTATGCGTCATTAAAATAAAAAAAAGTTTTTTAAACAAATTGATTCAAGTTTTAAACTTGATTCAAATTGTTTAATGATTTTTCCTAATTTGTAACTTACCTCCCCAAAGCAACACAGGGGGCCACAACAGTTAAGAAAGCATTCAATTTTTTATTATTTTAACTCAACTGTAAACTATAAAACACAAATCTTGTAAAATAAGGCTACTGTGAGGAGTAACAAGGTCACTGTGGGGAGAAACAAGGCCATTGTGTAAAGAAATAAAGACCTTTCAGATCCCAAAACCTGTTTAAATTCTCTTATTAATAAACTAATCAAAACTAAAGTGTATGAGCTATAAAATAATTCAAATATTATTCTAAAGTTTATATATTTAACTTTATATTATATTATTTTGATCTTTATAAACATTAGGACTTGGCTTATGAATGAATAAACAAAATTGATGTAAATAAAATATTTAATAGAAAATATTATTTATTTTTTAAATAAGAATTACATATTTACCTGGTGTTTGTGAAATTCTTAATACCTTTTCAGACACTTCTGCAAACACATCTGCTGTATTTGCCTATATATATATATATTCTTTAAAAGTCATATTCTTATTATACAATATATATATATATATATATATATATATATATATATATATATATATATATATATATATATATATATATATATATATATATATATATATATATATATATATATATATATATATATATATATATATATATATATATATATATATATTAGGGTGTGTCATACTTTATGATTTTTTGAAAAAAAAGTTTTTCCTAAAACCCGGTATATAGAAAACTTGTGTACAACTATTTTAACATTAAAACCAAAAAAAAAACTAAAAATAATTTGTTAAGCTACCGGAAAGTGTGTTTTAAAATCACATATTTATGGTCAATTTTTCGTAATTAGCTTTAACCCTAACCACAGGTACTGTTTTGTGTCCACACATTTTTATACGCAAGTAATTATTTACACCCAATCACGTTGAATTCTCTTTGATATGAAAAATAAATAAAGTTGCCAATTTATAAATTGTCGAACATATAATTTGTATGTTAAATGTTAAAAAATATTATTAAAAATTAAAAAATTTACGCAAAAAGTTTGCAAATTATGAACTTTGCTATTTAATCATGGCAGAGTCAATAACCTCAAGAACTAAAAAAAAGAAGCGAATCAAAGCTTTCAGAATATATAGGTTCTAAAACAGATATTCTTGTATAGGAATTACCAATGCTAAGAGATTTTCTTAGATATGGTCTGTTTTTGCAAGAAAGAAACAATAGAAACAAAAAAATTAACTGATAAAATCACTAATGAACGATGTTTACTCAAAGTTGATTGGTAAATGGATCCACGCCAATGTTTTATTTGTATATCCTGTAACATATATTGAACATTGTATTATTGCAACATTGGTGAATGAATGGAATGCAGCCAACCTGGTTGCTAGGGGAAAAGCAAGCTTAAAAAATAAAGATAGATTTTTAGTAAAACTTGACAAATTGTTTGATATACTGAATTGTAATTGCCAAATTATTACTTGTCAAGAGAAAAATTGTTTTTCAGAATGTAACAATGAAGCCCATTTTAACTATACGTGCAAAAAGAAGAAAAAGATTCCAAAAAAAGAATTAGTTTTTATACTTGTCAAGGAGCTAAAATAGGAACTACCGGTCCGCATCAAATTGGATTAGCTGACTTGAAAGAAAACAAAATGCTGAATTTGAATTTAGAATTTAGTTTGAATTTGAATTTTGTGGTTTGAATTTGAATTGAAACAGATGAACTATTTAGTGATGTTTCACAACAAACAGCAATACTGAACTCAATCTAATGTGTTGACAGAATGAAGATCAGGAATACAATTTACAAGGACAAAGGAATTATGAAAGTATTTCCAACATAGCGTTAGCAAGCATACGGTATGGTACAGGCTTAGGGGAAACAGCTGCAATTGCAACGGCAGCTTGGATGTACGCAGGAATAGATGATACTAAGTTGGTTATTGACCACAGCAAAGTCAAGAGAGCTCAAGAAAAAATTATGAAGTCTCTTTCTAGAGATTTTGATACTCAATGCAAGTCTACCATTATTGATTGTGTTTTTTTTTTATGGCAGAACTGATAATACAAAAGTTCAATTAGTAGTCGAAGGTTCGTCTAAATGTTATTCTGCTACAATCAAAAAGGAACATTATACAGTATGTATTATACAGTAGGAACATTATACAGTAGGTATCTTTTCCGTCTCTTTTCTGAAAAAGTTCAAAAGCATACGAAACACGCTGAATTAATTGCTCAGAATATATACAAATTTTTAAAAAGTAATAGTGCCGATAAAAGCTTAACAGCGATCGGTGGTGATTCTACTAGTGTTAACACAGGGTGGTCAGGCGGAACAATATATTTGCTGGAAAAGTAAAGTTAAAAAGAAAGCTAAACTGGCTGGTTTGTGCACTACATATACTAATGAACTTCCTCTATGTCATCTGATAACAACTCTTGATGGAGAGACTCTGAGCAGAATCAAATGGAGAGGCAGCATTGGAAAATTATTAAATGACACAAATGCGCTGGAAATTATTCGACCCTTTGAAAAAATTGATGTTGGAAATATGCTTATTACTCTAAAGAATGAAGTAATTAAAAATTTAATGTCTGATCTGTTTTATGGGTATAAAATAGTCTCTGCTATTAGAGGTGAAAATATACCAGCAGACTTGGCTTTACTTGAAATTGGATCAGTTAATCATTCCAAGATGGTTGACAACAGTCAACAGACTTTGCAGGGTTTGGGTCTCAAAACATGAGTTGGAAGGCAAAAATTTTAAAAACCTTAAATTAATAATTGAGTTCATTGTTGGAGTTTACATGCCTATGAGGTTTAAAATTAAAGTCGAGCACATGTTTACTGAAAGACTGAGACATATCCTTACCAGCTTAGCCTTCTGAAACATCAGTTAAGCGAAGTAGTAGAAATTGTTATGCCCTTTCTCTGAGTGCATCATACAGACCATACTCTGCTCAGAAAATGTAGAGGAAAGAAAGAACAGTATAGAGTTATGAAAATCAGAGGTCCTGGTGATGAAAAACTTCAAACTGGTAATAAAAATGTGAGAGCTAGAATAACTTCAGAAAGAAAACCTGATGCAACAACGCTTATACAGCTAATCTTATGCAACTGTAATATATCTTATGAGCCTATTTTTACTTGTGATCTGACAACAGAAGAAGTAAAACAGATATTATTTCAGCCCATGATTGTTCCAAATGGCCTTGTCATGGAAAGTCAATTGAAAGACGTGTTAACCAGGTAACAGAAGTAGCAAGCAAAGTTTATTCTCAAGAAAAAAGAAATGGTTATATAAGAGGACAGGACTTATCAAGAGAATTGATGTCTACTAATCGGTCAAAGAAAGATTTGATTTTATGACAAAAAAAGAAAAAATTATAATAAAAAAAATCTATTTTTATTAAATAAAAAACTAAATGATGAAAAAATAATTATAAATGAAAACTATTATAAACATTTTAATAATAATAATTTTAAAAATTAAAAAAAAAAAAATTCAAGCCAACAAAAATATACAACCACAAGCAAAAATTTGCTATTCTAGTAAGAAATTTTCCGCAAATTTAAGTGAATACTAAATATCGACTCCCGGAAGCTAAATCATTTTGTATTTTTAAATCTAAGCTTTTTTTTAGTAAAATTATATATAAATACAAGTTTTTAGAATACAGGGTTTTTAATCTGGAAAAAAAAAGTGTGACACACCCTAACTATATGTGCATAATATTGTCAGTTTAAAGTTTTGACAAAATTTTATTGACCTCAACATTATTTTATTTGATTGATTTTTATATTTTACACCTTTTAAGCACTTCTTTTTTCAAATGTGTATGTATATATATATATATATATATATATATATATATATATATATATATATATATATATATATATATATATATATATATATATATATATATATATATATATATATATATATATACTATATATATATATATATATATATATATATATATATATATATATATATATATATATATATATATTTACAGATATTATATATACATATTTTATATATATATATATATATATACTATTTATATTTATATATATATATATAAATAAATATATATATATATATATATATATATATATATATATATATATTTACAGATACTATATATACATATTATATATATATATATATATATATATATATATATATATATATATATATATATATATATATATATATATATATATTTATATATATATATTTATATATATATATATAAATTTTTTCAAATGTGTGTATATATATATATATATATATATATATATATATATATATATATATATATATATATATATATATATATATATATATATATATATATATATATATATATATATATATATAACAACAACAAAAAAAATCTTACTGATGGTCTTGTGTGGATTAATTGATCAAAAATACCAAGAGCAATCTATTAAAACAAACATAAACAAATGCAATAGAATATTTCAAAATTACATAAAGAAATGTAAAGAAATCTCCTTTAAGCATAATGTAAAGAAATCTTCTTTTTAAGCATAGAAAATTGGGAGACAGTGGGAATACGGTCAAACTAGTAATAACACATCATTTAGAAAACATTCTGCAAATATTCTATAAATAAAAACTAATTACAACTAATTCTAATTTAATGTTTTTTAATGTTTTAGATTTTATCAAAAAAAAAAAGGTTGTATTTGAACCTGTCAAAAAATTGCACAGTGCATAAGTCTCCAACATCAGTTGAAAACAGAAAAAAGCTTTAGTGTTTCTGGACTTTCTTTTGACACATGTTTTGTGTTTTAACTTGAAAGTTCAGTTATCAGGGATGTATCCACGCCAATTTTGATATGGTATACCCCAAATTTCTGCCAAAACTCAATTTAAAACAATTTTACAATTTGCATAAAGTTTGTCATAAAAAAATTAAAATAAAACAATTCTTTATTACATATTGTCTTGCTGTTTTGTAATGATAAAATTTTTAATATTAACTACTTTTAAAACATAAATGTATTTATAAGTCAATCAGAACGCTTAATTCAAATTCATGTGGATAAAATGTGTTATAATTGGATTATAATGTAAAATGCATGTTTTGATTGGATTAAAATATCAAACGCTTTTTATATTTTAATAACTCCTTTTAATAAAAACATTAATTTGTTTTAAATACACTTAATATGAGTTTCTCCTTTGCTTACATTTTCATAACTATAATTTACAATACGATTAAATTCTATAAGCTTTGAACTTTATCATTTTAGATAATAGTAAAATTGCAGTAAAAATGTATATAAACGATTTAAATAATAAAACAAATAAACGATTTTTACAATGTAATAACATTTTAAAACAAAATCAAAAAACAGAAAGTTAAAATTTTAATTCAACTCTTATAGTTTTTTAGCAAATTTTAGATATAATAAAAACTTCTGAAAAACAAAAAAATAGTATATCCAAATTTAAGAATTCATAACATTAATGAAAAAAAGATCTTTACCTGTCTTAAGTTAAATAACCCAGCATTTGCATTTCGTGATTTCACCAAAGTGTCAATAAGATCTGAAGGTAGCTCACTTTCATCTTTTTTTAAATATTAAAAAATAATCATCAAAATCATTTAAAAATTAAAAATAACAGTAGAGATTTTAAAGTAAAAGATTTAAAGGAGATGCATGTAGGTGATTTGATTCCTGACAATGCGTATAATTTTTTGTTTTGACAACTTGGCTAGAGCCAATATATTATCTTTATGGTTTCAATTTTTGAGGTTTTTATTTATTTTTGTATTACTTTATTCTTATTATTTTCTTATTGCTTATTTATTAGCTTATTTAGTTTATTTTATTAGCTTATTAGATTTTCTTTTTTTTTTTCAGTTTTTTTTTCTTTTAATTTTCTCAATAAGTTTGGTTTTTTCAGTGCATTTTTGAAAAACGCAAATTATCAAAACATGCAAAAAACCATGACAAAGATGTCAAAACAAAATACTATGTGTGTGCTTAAGAAAGCGATTGCATGTGTCTCCTGGGAAGACATTGTTTCATAAAGAAATAAGTTTTTAAATATTGTAAGAATAAAATTTTTAAAATAATTAAAAATAAAACAAGATTTGGATCACACCAGAAGTTATTGTTGCAGTTGAAAAGAAGCACAAACTTTGGGTAAAATATTAAGCGCCTGGTCAACACACTCATCAGACACTTCATGAGACACATGTGGCTACATTCATAAAAGTAACCAGCATAGTGAAGTCAGCACTGTTGACTTATAAGGAGGCAGTTGTAAGAGTATTGAAAAACAACCAATAACCTCCACATATATATATATATATATATATATATATATATATATATATATATATATATATATATATATATATATATATATATATATATATATATATATATATATATATATATATATATATATATATATATATATATATATATATATATATATGTATATATATATATATATATATATATATATATATATATATATATATATATATATATATATATATATATATGTATATATATATATATATATATATATGTACAAAGCCAGCAATGGGTTTAAGATATTATCATGTGCTTTGAAATGCCTTTTAGCTTAATCCACACGAAACCAAAAAGTCAACACAAAAGTATTTAATGTGCAACAAAGGAGCCTGGTACTACCCTTCTTTGTTGATTTTTTTATTTTATTTTTAATTTTTGTTGTAAATTTTGATCAATTTCTGAATAAGATTAAACTTAAATATTTAAATATACTTTTTAATTAACAAAACTTGTTTAATTAATAAAACTTGATCTTTGATCGTAATAACAAAAAAAATTAAATTAAAAATTACCTTTATAATGTTTTGACATTCGTTTAAGAGCCGCTTCCTCCCAACACCAATTTTCAAGCATCTGAGATGGAGCTTCCACAAAATCACGCTCAACACTAGTCCCACTAAAAAAAATCATCATTATAAAAATTATTTAAAAAAATCATCATTATAAAAATTATTTAAAAAAATCATCATTATAAAAATTATTAAAAAAAATCATTATTATAAAAATTATTAAAATATTATTTTGCAGTTTTAAACTCTATCAAGTTTTGTTGTTTATACTCTGTAAAGTTTATTAGATTTAAAGCGGTTATTTAATTATTATATGATTGCAATGACTCCTTTAAACCTAAACTTTAGAAAACCTAACCAACTCTGCAAAACAGGAAAAGTTCACATAGACTTTAGATTTTTAATTTTGAAAAGTCAACCAAAAATGCCCTTAAGAAAATTTTTTTAGTAAATTTAGATAAGGAATAAAAACCCTTGAAAATTAAAATTATAATATTTATACAGGACTCTTGCATAATGGTTTTGGCCATACTTATGCCTCTGTTTATAATTTGCATAAATTATCTCATAATGATGCCCAAATCATTTCCCACAAAATTTCAAATTGACAACCACATCCAATTAATTTTTTTTAACTTCAAACTACACTCATCTTTGTGCAGACATGGGGTAGTCTTATTGGAAAAAAAAACAATTTATGGCAGTATCTATTTATAAATCGAATCAGTGTTAATCCTAATAACTGTATCCTCTAACAACAACCTCCACTATTAATTCTGTATAATGTGAAACTAAATTCAGATTATTTAAGTACTTCAAATCAGGTAAATTACAAATTGCATAGAAACCAAGCATTTAAAACCATGAGTAAAACCAGCATCATCAGCTAATCATCATTAGTGAATCATTATCAGTATCATCAGGAAACCTCCTACAAATTTCTGGTTAAAAAATTTTATAGCCATTTTTACAAATAACACTTATCATTAAATTTATAAAGAATATCTAAATAAAACTTATCAAAATTATAAATTTTTTTCATTTATTAAAATCTCCACAATTTTATTTTATCACATAACTTTATACTTATTGTGAGTCATACTTTCTCACAAAAATTTCAGCTTAAACTATGCCAACTTTAATAAATAGCTCATATAATTATAACTAATATCATGATTTTTTTTCTAAATTAAAAAAATTATCAAACAACTCACTGTTTATCTTTTTATGTCACTCATGTAACAATACTTTTTATTAATTTTGAAACAAAAAATCAAAACTAGCTATTGACCAATAAAACTAAAATGCATTTTTACTTTCACTCTATAAATAATTTTTCACTACAGAGTAAAGTGTATTTTTACATTCACTACAGAATAAGGTGTGTTTTTACTTTCACTAAGTACTAATGTGTGTATTTACCTTCACTCATTAGATAAAATAAGGTGTGTTTTTACTTTCACTAAGTACTAATGTGTGTATTTACCTTCACTCATTAGATAAAATAAAATTAAAAACTCATTGATAACTCAGAGTAATAACTATTTGAATAAATTATAATAAATAGAATAATTAGAATAATTAATAATTAGAATAAATAACAATTTATCTTCATTAGGAATAAAGAAGTAAAAAAATAGAATTACTTTAAAAGGTTTGGATTTATTAAAACATTATGAACAACTTATAACAAATAACTCTTATTATCTTATTATAACTTGAAACAATTACCTAAAGATTGCAAACTCAGCTTCAGCACAAATCTGGTGCATCACATGGCCAAACTCATGAAAAAATGTTTCTACCTAAGAAATAAAAAAAATCAAATTTACTTCTCTGGGAATAAACAACTACTTTTAAATATAGACAGTTAAAAAAAAATGAAGGTAATAGATTCAAAAAATAAAGGCAATAGATTATATACAGCAACATATTCCTTTATTCTACAGGATTTAAACTATTAAAACTGATGATGCTATACAAAAAAAACTTATTATTACATTTTTATTAAAACTTATTATTTTATAAAATGTATCTATGTTCTTACTTACACAAACATTGTATTGTACAAATGTATCTATGTTCTTACTTACACAAACATTGTATTGTACAAATGTATCTATGTTCTTACTTACACAAACATTGTGGCATTAAAGTGCTACAAATTATTTATGAGTAAGCTCTTATGTATAGTGAAAATTAGTAAATTGATAAATAAACTTGGTGGTAAACTTGCTGACTTAAGGTGGTAAACTTGCTGATTAAATATTATAGCTTATCATCATAAATAATAACTTTGGGAAACCTTACTATCAACCAGCCTCAGAATCATTAAATTAAGTTATAGTGCTTTACCTTATCTTAAGCTTATTCTGAAATAAAGGGAAGACTATTAAGGAGGCACAACCAAAATCCCATTAGTAATGGCAAGAAGATCCAGCATTCATTATCCTAACAGATGAAGAAAAGGTGCTGGTCTGTTATTATATTAATGCTAATTAATATGTAAAGAAGTAAAAAAAGAAGCGTTACGGGCCAGGGAAATAATTGAAACAAAAAAGCTTTAAGATCAATATTGAATGATCAAACAGAAATAGTGGAAATTATCAACCAATTTAACTCGATGATTGTTAAAGAATTGTCAAAGAAAAAATATATATTAAACTAACTTCATCAAACTATATAAATTTTATCACATCTTAGTTCTTAGTTTTATAATCTTAGTTCTTAGTTTTATAAAACTTAGTTCTAACCATTATTCTGATTTTAGATTTTTTAGAAGGAGTGGGAATTGAGGTTGGAGAAAGGTTAAAAAAGATCTTAAATTTAACTTCTTTTACTATTTTTATTTTTGTTTTACACACATTCAAATGTTCAAAAATGGTTATATCTCTTTGCATTGATACTAAATTCCATAAGCAAGATGGTAGCAAAAAATTTATTGTTTAGTACCAAATTTCTAAGTAATTGGTATCAATCCACAAAAACTAAATAAATATATTAAATTTGAAGTTAATAGAGTAACACTTTTCACTGACAAAATATAATATTACACCAGCTATCTTATAATGAAATAAACAATTAAAAGGTATGACTAACCTCCTCATGGCCAAGTAGTGAAGGCTTATCATTTGTAGGCTTTGTGAAATTAGCAACCATAGCAGAAACTGACAACTGTAAAAATTCCATTCAGAAATAAATTATTTTAAAAATCATGCTTAACCTAACTTATATATTTTTTGCTTTATGAAAATTTGTTTACTCATTATATTTTTTTATTTCATTTTATCAAAATCATTTAAAATATTTAGTTGGCCAGAAAATAAAGTTTATTTATTCATTAAAAAAAAAATACTACAACTTATAATTTGTATTTGTGTTCCCAAACATTTGTATTTTTAGACAGTGGCAAGAAATTTACTATATTATGAATTATATACTTGTTTTAAATTTATATAATTACTATAATTGTTTAACTCTAATTAAATAATAAAAATAATTAACTATAATTTAATATTTATTATTATTAATTACTTTTTAATAACATTTATTTTGTTTAAAATGTGTGCAATAAATTTTTTTTTTTTTTTACACTTTTTTTTTCATATTTTTATAAAAAGAATTTAAAACCATTTTAGTTTGGTATGCACTATAAATTAATTAAAAGAATACAAAACTCTTTTATGTATATATAATTATACATTCACATAAGAAACAAAAAAAATTATAATTTATAATAATATAATTATAATAAATTTATAGTAATATAAGTATTATTTTAGTTATATTAAAATAATAAGTATTCAGAAAAAACAGACCATTCTTTCTCCATTTTCTTTAAAACAACCAGGCTGCAAACTAAAACAAGCAGCATGGCCAAACTTCCCTTCTCGTGGAAACAAATCCAAGTAAAAATAGCCCATTCGTTTATTTGTAGCCACATCAGTCACACTATATAGTGATACATCACTGTGCCATGTTTGGGCATCAACAATTTCATTAAATGTTACAGAGAGAAGCTCTTGATAAATATCAAGTACACCTAAAAATAAAAAATAAAAAAAATGATTTTGAAAGAAAAGAAGTACAAAGTTCAGGAAACAGACAAAACTGTAAATGGAACAATTGAAGAAGCAGTCTGCAATATATCCTAAGTTATGATGCAAAAACTACTTATATTACCACAAAAAAAAAAAAAAAAAAAAAAAAAGCATATCATTATAATTATCTCTTGTTACAATTATTGTATCTTATGCTAAAAGATTACAAAATATCTCATCCAAACACCAGTTTACAATGGACTAATAGGCTTCACCACATGGTAACTTAAACTTCAAGAGGCCTAATAAATTGTTAGCAGATTTATTAAGTCATAAAACTCTGCATTTGTAGTATAAGTGGTTGTTACTTATTATATTCTTTCAACACTTTTAGACAAAATATATTTTAAATTAAAAAAAAAATTGAAAAATTTAACTTTTTTATTTTAATTTTTATGTCATAGCATGCCTAGCCTGCTACGATGCTATGATACTACTAAAAACAAAAATATATAAAACTAATATTCAAATTGTGTCAGGCATAAAAAATGCAAATAATCTAATCCAGAGCCTGACATTAAGTGTGCTAATAATTATAAACAGCTGTATTAAGTATGAAACCTGTGATAACAGCATTTAGAGGGAAGTACTCTTTTAACTTCTCATGATCTATGCAATATTTAGACTTTTCAATCATGTTCATGTAATAACGCATATCCCAGTAATTTATTTTATTGTCAAAAGTGTAGCCATACTTTGCACACTATAATATAAAACAATATATTGTTAAAAGTGTGTATATACTCTGTTTTCTACAATATTAAAAGTGTGTATATACTCTGTTTACTACAATATGAGTAAGTTAATTTATCTATTAAATTTATCAAATGTGTAGCTATATTTTGCACACCATTAAAAATGCACAACCTCTTCCTTTTTGAGTGTCAACATTTCTGTAACTTCTTGTGCACCTAGAGGTTCTAACTTCACAGCAAGCTCATCAAGGAAAGACATCACTGTATCAGCAGTTTTTGCCATGCGCATCTATAATTCCAAATGTACAATAATACATTTAAATGATTTAACAAACCAGTTATTTTATTATTATTATTTTTAGTTATTATTATTACTCAGGGATCAATAAAAAAAGTTCAGAATAACAAGAATAAAAAAATAACAAGAATAAAAAAAGTTTAATCAGAATAACAAGAATAAAAAAATAACAAGAATAAAAAAAGTTTAATCAGAATAACAAGAATAAAAAAATAACAAGAATAAAAAAAGTTTAATCAGAATAACAAGAATAAAAAAATAACAAGAATAAAAAAAGTTTAATCAGAATAACAAGAATAAAAAAATAACAAGAATAAAAAAAGTTTAATCAGAATAACAAGAATAAAAAAATAACAAGAATAAAAAAAGTTTAATCAGAATAACAAGAATAAAAAAATAACAAGAATAAAAAAAGTTTAATCAGAATAACAAGAATAAAAAAATAACAAGAATAAAAAAAGTTTAATCAGAATAACAAGAATAAAAAAATAACAAGAATAAAAAAAGTTTAATCAGAATAACAAGAATAAAAAAATAACAAGAATAAAAAAAGTTTAATCAGAATAACAAGAATAAAAAAATAACAAGAATAAAAAAAGTTTAATCAGAATAACAAGAATATTTACTTCAGTAACAAAAGATGCATGATTTTCAAATCCAAGAATTTTTGCCTTCTAAACATAGAAAACATGTAATCAATAAAAATTTATTTTAAAATCAAATGAATAAAAATCAAAATATAAAAACAGGTTTTAAACTTTACAAATTTATTCACAAACTGTATTTAAATATTAAATTTTATATAAACATTTTAAACAAAAAACTAAGAATGGTTTATTACAAAAAAAATAAAAACATTTTTTAAAAAAAAACTTTATTACTTTTAAAGAAGCTGTTTATTTACATTGATATTTTTGTTCAGAAAATTTGAATTCTAGTTTTTTTTATTCAGTTAGGTAAATAATTTAAGTTTCAGTTTTAATTCAGTTCAGTAAATAATTTAAGATTTAGTTTTTATTCTGTTCATGTTAAAATAATTTATCTTTAAGTTTTTATTTTGTTTATGTTAAAATAATTTAAACTTCAGTTTTTAATTCAAAATAATTTTTGTTATCATATAAAAAATTTATCACTTCTAACTTTAATGTAATATAATGAAGGCATATATAAAAGAAATAAGACTCGGTGTAATAAGAATACACAAATATATATATATATATATATATATATATATATATATATATATATATATATATATATATATATATATATATATATATATATAATCACTCAAGTCATTACTTTCAAGCTCTGATTGGTTAAAAATTAAATAGTTAAATATATCTGGATAAAACAACATTAGCCAGAATGGCCTACTCGCTTGTTTGTCTATTCAGCCATGAAGGAACATCTAATTTCAGTTCCAACTAATTTTTTTTTTAATCTGGCCGCTTTTAATGCTATTACAGGAAGAAATTTATTTTTATTTGAGGAACTTTAATTGAAACATTACCTCTTCTTTTTTACCGATTAACTTTATTCTTTCATTTTCAAAACCATATCATATTTTATGATTAACTTTATAGTGAATATTTGTTTTAACAGTTGCAGTTAGATGTTTACACTTAGTTTGCTCAAAATAAAATTATAGATAATGGTTTGTGGAAGTATTTTTTCACCTATTTTGTTAGAGTCCCACCCTCTTACAAAATGATGTAATTCAAATTCGAACAATCAGTATATTACGTTAATCTTGTTTTTATTACTTTTTTATTTTTATTTTGAGAACCAAATATTCATATTTTTTATATACTTTTATGCTACTTTTTGTTATACTTTTATAACCAATTATATTATTTTGTTATACTCTTATAAATAATGAGATTATTTTGTTATACTTTTTTAACCAATGATGTTATTTTGTTATACTTTTATAACCAATGATGTTATTTTGTTATACTTTTATAACCAATGATACTATTTTGTTTTACTTTTATAACCAATGATATTATTTTGTTTTGTTTTTTATAACCAATGATATTATTTTGTTATACTCTTATAAATAATGAGATTATTTTGTTATACTTTTATAAACAATAACATTATTGGCTTAGCAAAAAAGCAGCTACAAATAGTTTTTGACTAAACCAAAAAAGCTCCCATTATTGACCAATTATTTAGTTTTATTATATACTATACTATTCATGCACTGAGTTAGAGGATATACCAATATCACAAAACTAAGGAAAAATAAAAATCCTTACTTTGTCTCTGAGTTCTATCAACTCCTCAAGTATTGGTGTATTCTCTTTTATGCATCTAAAATTTGAAATTACACAAACTATAATAGGAAAAAAAAAAAAAATTTAATTTTTACATAATAATATAGAAAAAAATTTTCAGTTATCGGTTTATACATTGTAAAACAAAACTGGTTTACCATTATTATACATAGTTATGATATGAATGATATTGATTACGGTTTATGAGTAACACTCTTAAGTTAAAAAGTTTAAGTATAGTATATCAAAAATAAATAAAAGTTAAACTCTATGACAAACACTGGTAAAGAATTTAAGAAATATGATAATTATACATGGATAAAGATTGCTTAAGTGTACAGTCTTACAAGTTTACAGCATTGCAAGACACAGGGTTGCAGTATATAATATATTTCAAGACTCAACTTTTTTTTTTAAATTACAATTACCATATATTATCATGATTATAATTCTTGGTTTTTTTAGATAGAGAAATTTTAATTTTACAAAAAAAAGTTATTTTTTTTAATTAAACAAATTAAATATTTATTCATTATTATTTTTATATTATTCAATAGTTATTAATATATATTAAAAATCTTTTAAATAAACAAAAATGTAATAACCTGTCAACCTACCTACTATTAAAAGCAGTTTCAAGGATTTTTCTTACATCAGGATTGCGTGCATTTTTCATGCATGGAAAATAATCTGGATATTTAAGCGATACTTGAAATTTATCTCCACTTTCACTCTGAATTTAAAAACTAAATAAGTTACTGTCAATTTATTGGGTATTATATAGTTATTTTACTTTTTGTTTTAAACATAAAATGTATTTTAATCTCAAATTGTATTCATAAGCTAAAAATTTATTCAAATTTCAACTTGTAATGTTTTGTAACGTAAATATATAAATAGATAGTCTATCCAAAGTCTCAGTTATTCTATATACTGAAGCCCAGACGCTATTTCAGTATGATGTATACAGTAACATGCAAGGGAGTTGCATTATAAGAATATTAAAAGAAAAAAAAAATTTATTATAATAAAAGTCTTTCATATTTATATTGTGCAGCCTTTAACCAAACCCTCAATCCATTTATGTACTGAAACCGTACAAATGGCTACTTCATCAATAAGGTTATATATATATATATATATATATATATATATATATATATATATATATATATATATATATATATATATATATTGATTTGCAAATCGAATCTTATATACACTTGATTTGCAAATCGAATCTTTTAAGGTTTGCATTTCAGTATGACGTCAGATTGCATAACTTAGTACGCAATAATATTTGTATGTATATATATATATATATATATATATATATATATATATATATATATATATATATATATATATATATATATATATATATATATATATACATATATACACATATATATATAAAAAACCAACAACAAATGGTCTAATTTACATTCTGATTTAGTTAAACTTAAACATATTCTCCAAAAAAACTTTTACCCGACTAAACTAATTGATTGCGTTTTAAAAACCTACCTAAACAGACTATATAAAAAATAAAATTAAGAAATGATCGATTCCTCAAAAATAAATTACTTTAAAATGCTGTATATAGGTAAAATGTCAAAACAATTTTAAAACAAAATAAATGACTTTTGCAAAAAGAGATTGTAAAACTCTTAATAATAAAATTCCTCAACATCTCTATTCAAATGTCATATATAAATTTGTGTGTAAAAGCTGTAATGCTTGTTATGTGAGTCAAATCCCTCGACATTTGAGTAAAAGAATCAAGGGATATTTAAAATGACAAAAACTAAATCAATATATTTATTCAAAAACTAGTTGCTTTTATGTAGCCAAATCTCTTTTTCAGTATTAGACTACTCCTAAACTTCGCATCAGTTAAAAATCAAAGAAGCGTTATATATTATGTGGGAAAAACCTGATCTTAACAGGTTTTTACAGGGTGGCCACTTAAATTTGAAAATTAAATTTCATATCTTTTCCATGAATCTTCATAAACTTTTAAGATAAACCACTAACCAGTAAATTAATCGGTACTTGCCATGCATTTGGTAGAAAGATCTGAAACCATCTCTGAAAAAAACTTTTTTTCTTTTACTTGTCTGATAATCTATAACTTACACTGCAAAAATATTTTTTTCAAAAAGGACTTAGACTAGACATACTAGTACTATTTTTGCATCCTAAAAATATCACAAGCAGAAAAAAATAAAAATCATTTTAAAAAGTTCCATGAATTTTCCATGACTTTCAATGAAAATTTAGGAATTCGGTGACTTTTTCCATGACCAAATAAAATTCTATGACATTTCCATGATTTCCAGTGAAAAAAACAAGGTGACCAGTGGCCACCTTGTTTTTAATTACATGATATCACCTTAGCTCTAATTGACGTATTCTATACTCTAGGACGTATGTATTACACTAATTGTCTACATTTTCCATTATTCTATGACAGGTTTTCACACCTTTTATGTTTTCTTTTGTTTTGACTAACAAATAAAATTAATGTTTGTTTTCACTATATATTAAATAGCGTTTGTATTTAACAGTTTTATACTGAAAATGATTATTGATGAAACATGTTGTTTAAATTGTTACATATATTAGACTCATTACAAAATTTGTACTGTTATGAACATTTTATATTCATAAAAAAGCCTGATATATATAAATATATTTTAAAGCAAACTAAATATATAAATGCAGTACAGACTTAAATATGTAGAGGTATGCTTGCTTTTTTTTTTTTTTTTTGAGTGTAAAACATGCATGGTTACAAACTTATGAAATTTAAAAAAATTTACATAATTCTATTTTCTTATTTTGAATATTATTATGGAAAAGTTTAAGTAATTCTTTACAACCAGATGTCCTTCCTAGGATTAAACTGTTATAGAGAGTTATTATAAACTGTTACATTTATTTTAATCTAAGCTCATCCTAGCCTTCTCAACTGCAGTGGCTACTCATCCTTAGAGAGGTTAATACAGTAAAAATAAAAAATTGGGTTCTATTTAATCCGAGTTTTTCTTCTCATAGGTAAGTTGTGGTTGAACGTGTGCGTGAGTTGTCTTTGCCAAGGTTAAGGAGTCTCCTTAAGTTTCAAGAACAAGGCCAGAATAAGGTCATATGGCTAAAACCAAGGATCAACAACACTGAAAAGTATATTTAAAAATATAGTAATACTCTCATGTTATTAAAGACTGACCTAAAATAAAACAAAATTGTTTAAATAATTAAATTATTTTTTTTAATATTTACCTTTTTTAAACCATTAAGAAAATCTTGAGGCAAACCACCTAAAAAAAAATTATTTTTAAAACTATAAAAAATTGCAGAAAAGAATCAATAAACAAACCTGATCAAAAAATTGCTTAACAAAAACAACATGTTAAACTAAATATAATTTTTTATTTCAAAGTTGCTAACTTATTTTGTGGAAAATTTAAAAACAAAAAAAAAAATTAAAAAATTACTCAATTCATCTTCAGTAAACTCAAAAACAGTGTTTTCTTCATTACAGTTTTTATTAAATTCAATTGAAAGATCACTAATTCTTTTTTTTATTCTTTTAACTTCTTCTTGAGTATCCTTCGATAAATGGAGCCCTAAAATAATAATTAAGTACACTAAGACATCAAAAATTTTATACACATACCATGTGATAATATTAATTGCTACTATTACTCTACAAGCTTTTATGAGCTGGAAATCTATAGACCTTGATAAAACTAACAAATGAATCTAATTGTAATATTATTTTTATTAATTCATTGACAGTTTTAGAATCAACCACTGTAGCATATGTAACTGATAATTACCCTACCACCTTACATACATACATACATACATACATACATACATACATACATACATACATACATACATACATACATACATACATACATACATACATATGTTTCAGCTAATCGATGTTGATTGGTGACATTGATTGGTGACATTAAACAATTACTTTGAGCATTGTAGTGATATTATCATTGATATGACAAACAAAAATTATATTTTCATAGATTTGAGTTTGAAAGATTTACTACAAAAGTTAACTAAAATTAATATTTTCAAAAACTAATAGAGTTTATTTAATCTAATAAACACATATAACTGATCTCAAAAATTTACTGAAAGTATATCTTACCATCTCTTTGACCATTTCTTATTAGTCTTTCAAGATATCTAGCTGCTTCTTTACTCATCTCACAGTTCTTTTTTTGTAAAGCTATAAGGTTCTTGAATACATCTTCTCGCATACTAGGATTTAAAAAAATTAAAAAAATGTTATATTATACTTCCTATATTGAAAAGTATTATTTAACTGTATAAAAACTATTTCAAACAGTTATACTGTTTACCAGTAGTTTTGAGTTTTAAAAAATTGTAACAAAGATGCAAAAAGAAAATGTGAAAGTTGTTTATAAATATAATTATTACAACAAACAAAAGTCTGAACATCCTGTTAATTTTAAACTATTTTAGTGACAAATAAAATGGCAAAATGTTAATTTTTTTTTTTCAAAACAGTTTAAACGTTAGATTCCCCCTCCTCCTCCTTTTAGAGTTATGATACAACTTTACTTCATGGTTAAAAAAAACATTCATAAGCATCTAATTTATGGGTGGACATTGATTTAGCGTGCATATATTTATAAATATATCATCAAACTCCTTTACTATTTTTACATAATTATAACTGCAAAATAATTATTTAAAAATAGCTTTAAAATTAGAAAGGAAAAACTTAAAAAACTTATCATTATTAATAAAATAAACTTTTATATATAATAAAAATTTTTACCATTCTTATATTATATAAACAAAAAAAAATGTTTTTCTTAATAAACTAATTCAATATAATTTCCAAGATGCAATATGCCTAATGAGATTATAGCAGATATAGTGATAGCAGAATAGTGTTTTCTCATTAAAAAAATAATAATAATAACGATAACAATAACATACAAAGAAAGGATAAAAGAATAATATAACAAATAAAAGAATTAAGAAGTTGCAAACAACAAACCAAAGCCAAAAAACTTGCGGTAACAACAAAAAAATTTAAAAACCATGAATCACAAAACATTATAAAATAAGGTTACAAGGTAAATCTACTAAAATAAGGTTACAAGGTAAATCTACTAAAATAAGGTTTTAAGGTAAATCTACTAAAATATGGTTACAAGGTAAATCTAATAAAATAAGGTTACAAGGTAAATCTACTAAGCCGGTATATTCTCAGTTAAGCAAGTTTATACATTCATGCATAAAAGTGGATCATACCTAAACTTTAAATACCTTAACTTACCTCATTTCCACAGCAAAATCGGATAACATTTTGTCTGCTTCTGTGCTGGCTGCTCTTATTTCTTTGTTTGTTGAAACATGCTGAGGAAAATCCAACATGGTATTTTCAATTTTGTGTTTGTAGTCATTATAAGCCAAAGTCTAAAAAACAATTTTTTTTATATTTTTTTTACAAAATTAAATACTTTTTAATAAATGTAACTGAAAATTATTTTAAAAAAAGTGTTTAAGCAATTTAAAATAAATAGGTTAAAACACCTATCCAATGGTCTGTAGGACACAGTATATGATTTCCTTGGTTTTTACATATTATTATCTGCATTACTTCAACAGATGAAGTTTATAATTTCATTACAACTTTTAAGTACAAGAAATTAAAATATAAATCCTTGCAAATGCCATTAAGTGGCACCGCTCAATTTCTAAAACAATAAACTTTAAAGCTTTATAACTTTTTCTAACTTTTAGAACTCAATTGTTGTGGAACTATTTTCTGGATAGTTCTGTTTTACAAATGGTTTTTAATATTTTTTTTTTTTTTTAAAACTGTATTGGCTTTCCAAAGATGAGGTGCTACGACAGTCAAGAAGGCTACTTTTTTTCTTCTTCAAAAAGTATGATAACCTTGTTTAAATGTTTGATTTAAACAAAGCATGTTTCTTCATTACAAGTGTTGCTTGGTAACCTTTTATATACTATTTCAATCAGGCTGTTTAAAAGCTTATGTAACATCAATAAGCAGTATAACTGACGTTTTAGAATAATAAGAACAATAAGCAGTATATTTCACATGTTGGAAGAAAGTTATGTTATTACATTAAAACTTTTGATCACAATATTGGCATCAATATATTTATAATCACAATATTGGTATCACAATATTGGCATTAATAATAATAATTGGGTATCAGTAAATTATTTTTGCAAATTTTTTCCCAGAAATATAATCAGCAACAACTAGTCTTAATGATAACTCTGCTTGTGTTAGCTGTTTACAAAAAGTTGTAAACTACTTCAAGTACTCAATACTACCAACTGTGCGTTGGTATCCAGTTAGAATTGTTTACTACTACATTGCATGAATCTGAGCTCAAAAGAAACAAAGTGTTTTACTCTAACTTTTTTATAACTTATTAAACTAAAAAAAAAAAAATTATCATACAAAATTAAATTAAACAATATATTATCAGTTTAAGGAGAATATACAAGAGTTTTAAAAAAAAAAAAAAATTTTTGACATAAAAGAGAAAAAAAAATATTTTAACTTTATTTTAAATTTATATAATTATATGGGGATACATAACTATGTAAATTATTTTTTTTTTGGCTTATTAGATATAATCGAGATTTTTAATTATATAAAATTGGAAAAAAATCTAACTAGAGTTATGATTATAAATTTTATTTTAAAATTAAAATATACTGTTTCTTTTTTTTTGCTGCTTTTCTTTGAAACTTAGTTTTACTTGATTTTAACTTGATGAAAAACTAATCACTTTTTAAAATAATCAAGACAATAATATTTTTAATACTATATTTAATATTACTAAAGTTATAAAAACATAATTATTAAGAACCAATAATTATACTTTTTTTTTTTAATTTTAGTTTGTTATTTAGGTGCCCCAAGAAGTCCTAACGGTCTTGTCACAAAGCACCGCGGAAGTGCATTTAACCAGGAAGTTCATGCCTCCTTCCTTACAGTAATGCAAAATATGTCAATTCTTGTTTCGAACCAGGATCTCCTGTTTATAAAGCAAACGCTCTAACCACTGCGCCACGGCCGCACATTACTATTAGAACAAGTTATTAAATTTTATTAGATTTAATAACTATAATACTATTATCAATAATATTATTAATGGTATTATTAAAATTATTATTATAAATATTATTATTTAACAACATAATGTTGTTAAATAATAATAACGCAGGCTGGTACCCAAAAACCCAAATCCAAATACCCAAGAGCAAAAACACAACCTAATGGGTTTTTGGTCTCAAATTTTATTTATTTATAATTTTTATTTATAATCTCAAATTTTATTTATTTATAAATTAATTTTCATTAACACTCAAGATTTGATACTGCTCAACAATTATTATTATGATAATAAAAGTTTAGTGAGTCATAAATGAGAATTTTATTTTACTTGGAGCAGTAATATACAAACTTAAAAATTTAAAACAGAGACATCTAACAATATAGTCATCAGCAATATTGCATTTTGATCTTAAATGTAAACTTGAAAAAATATTTCAACCTTTTCTCTTTCTAAACGATTTCTAATTTTGCTCTAAATAATGCCAAAGGATAAGGAAAATTCTTCAATGGATCCACTACTAGCCAAACATGCGTGCAACTACCATGAAAATCATGCAAAATTTGCAAACAATTTGGAAGACTTAGATTTCTTCATTTCTATAATATTCCACCAAGTTATTGCTGATGTTGTACTTTTTATATTTTTATATTTTAAAATAGTATTTTTAGTTTAAATGCATAGTAGCCAGGCAAATACTTGCGATAGATTTTATTCAACCATTCCTCGACTTCTAATGTTCTTTTAAAGTAAATAAGTAAAGTTATAAAGTAGTTAACTTAAACAAAAATTTTACATCTATATTTATTTTATTTTGATTACATGCCATTTGTTTGTAACCTGCAAATCCAGTTCATCCTTCTGATTTACTACTTGTTGTTGTAGTAACAAATTTAGAAATGGATATTTATCATTACACTGTCATTGTAGTTGACTGAACGATTGACAATTAAGAAGAATCACTAAACCATTAAAACCACTTTGCTGCATATCTTTAGACTAGTTAGACTTATTTGATGCTGCAGATGTAGATGATGGCCTTGACTCTGAAACTGATATATTATTAAATACATCAGTGGAATCATTAGCGATTTTATTTTTTATTTATTCTGCATTAAAAAATATGGGCCTCAAATCTATCTGTTTTTTAAACTATGCTTTCTTTGCAATAATTAACTATTATTCTGTGGCTGATCACTTATTATGGTCCCTCAATTCCATTAACTAGCCTTATTCTTCCCCACGAATAATACTTTGTTATTTTTAAGAATATATTTATATATATATATATTTAACTCATATTTTAAATAAAAAATTTTAAAATTATAACTATTACAAAATTTCTTTTTTTTTTTTTTTTAAAAAAATCAAGGTGTTTTTTTGTGGACCTTTATTATGTAAATTTAAATATGACAGTGTTTTTTGTATTTTATGATTTCTACATGATACTGCCAGTAAGTTACTGAATAATATTTTAAAAAATGATTTTAGATAAAATTTAATACTTTTCTTGACAGATAAAAATGTTATACATATATATAACAAGGGTATATATATATCGATAAAGCGTCGGGCGATGTGAATTTTACGTCGTCCAAGAGCGATTTTGCGTGTAGCTAGGGCTATTTGCGTCGAGCAAAAAAATTTTTGTTTGAGTATATTTAAAGATATTTTTGAGCGGAATTTTAATGAAGTAATTTACGATTATTTTAACATTTAATAAAGTATTTTAAAAACCGCACGCTGTTGAAATAAAAGTTTGAATTTAAAAAAATTGAATATTTACAAGTATAAAAAGTTCAGATTAAAAAAAAAGTTTAAA